GTTGTTGTTATTGCTCATTGGTTTAAGACAATGAGGCGACATACTTGTTGTTGTTGTCGTTGTCGTTGTCGTTGTCGTTGTCGTTGTCGTTGTCGTTGTCGTTGTCGTTGTCGTTGTCGTTGTCGCTGTTGTTGATTGCTGTTGTTGTTGATTGCTGTTGTTGTTGTTGGTTGCTGTTGTTGTTGTTGTTGTTGTTGGTTGCTGTTGTTGGTTGCTGTTGCTGTTGTTGATTGCTCTTAAGATATTGTTATCTTACAATCCTGATGTAGGAGCTATAAATGACCGAGGGAAATGCCCTATACACATAGCCGCTGAGTAAGAAACTAAGTTATTATTTATATCAGATTCTTAGCAAGTTGTTGTTGTTGTTGTTGTTGTTGTTGTTGTTGTTGTTGTTGTTGTTGTTGTTGTTGTTGTTGTTGTTGTTGTTGTTGTTGTTGTTGTTGTTGTTGTTGTTGTTGTTGTTGTTGTTGTTGTTGTTGTTGTTGTTGTTGTTGTTATTATTCTTGTTGTTGTTATTCTTTTTGCTGTTGCTGTTGTTCTTGTTGTTGCTGTTATTCTTTTTGCTGTTGCTGTTGTTCTTGTTGTTGCTGCTGCAGCTGTTGTGGTTGTTCGTGTTTCGTTATTGTATCTCCTATGTGAACTAGGCAGATTTTGTCTTCTAGATGACAGCTCTGAGTCTGGCTGCAAGTAACAACAATGCCAAAGCCGTACAGTCTCTATTGAATAATGGTGCAGATCTAGCCATTCTCACATGTGAAGGTCTTAGCTGTATGGACATAGCTCTCAACAATCGATTTCATGATGTCTGTATGGTGATTGCGAAAAGTGATAAGTACGCGAAAGTTTTATCTTTGGTCTATTAGAATTTGATGTACTATTTAAAACATTCGCAGTGCGTGTTTTATTAGATATAGCCGAGTATCTTTAGGTCTGATAAAACACGCACTGCGAATGTTTTATATTGCTTCAAAAACGATCGATCTAGTAAGTTCATTGGCGAAGTAATTTTCAAAAAATACGTTGTGTAAGTCGAGAAAATCAAAGTTTATGTAAATCAAGGGAAAACTCTATCACATATAAAGATACGACAGTACGACACGCTTATGATTTTTCTTTGTGTTTTCTTCATAGTCCATTTCTATTTCAATATTTTGCAATTCTAAGAGAGCCAGTATTTTACCCAAAGAATTGTTCCTTGCCAGAGAGAACAAGAGACGTTTTTTATTCACGAATTTTTCATATTCCTTATGATAGGTGGAAGGAGGCTTTAGTTTCGACCACAACGATGGAAAGTTGCTTAAAAGTGTCTCCCGAAGTTGCCAAGGTGTGAATAAAAATAAAAATCTCAAAAATCCATCACCTTATTTAACTTAATGTCGGGTTTTGCTTATTTCAGGTTATCCTTGACAAATGTATTGAATACAGTGGTAGAGAAATTGACAAGGACTATAAAGTATGATCACGAGAAGTCAGGCGATGCTACACGAAACGATTTTCAACAACGATTCGCAATGCAAATGAAGTTACGCGGAATTTGACTGGTTCGACGGCCCGTTGCGTTGCGAATCGTCGTTGAAAATTATTCCATGTTACAACGCCTTGAATGGCCTTGTTTGCATGCACACACGTAAAACGCACAAGTTGTTACAAGTTTGGAAATGAGTTGTAATAAGGCTGTTGTCAAGCTGATATCAGGATGTGTTCGTACTGCTTGTTCCCAGTTGTTGTGACAAGTCTGGAACAAGCTGTTATCACCTCGTTACAAGGTTGGTGACGGTAACAGATTTGCTATACAAGTTGTTCCAACAAGACTAATACATGCAGGCTGTTTGAGCTTGCTGTCATCAACTTGTTAACAACTTGCAAACGGTATATCAGACTTGTTGGAACAACTTGTTGAGAGCCTGTTGGATTACAAGATGATAACAACCTTTTCCAGACTTGTCACCGACTCATGCACTCAACTGGGAACAAGCAGTACGAATACAACTTGTTGAGAAGTTGTGAGATTTTTACGTGTTAGTTGAACAGTTGAGTAATTGATGCACGTGTTTTAAATCTTTCACTCTCAGCTTCGTCCACGCTCAGATCGAACGATCGACACACTGAATACGCTTATTCTTATATTTCACTTGATCCACAAGAATTCTGATTGATCATCAATCTCTTTTGTGTAGGTGACATATCATTTTGAACTACTTGATCCTCCCCCGGACAAGAATGAAACCTACTATGGACCGTTGGTAAGCACTTGACTGTGAACTTTCATGTGAATATTTCTTGATTTGCTGATTATTTGATAAGTCAATACATTAAATTAATCATTCAATTAATTAATTAATTGATCGATTAATTGATTGGTGCCTTGTTTAATTGGAGTAATTGAATGATTGTTTTAGGCGATGAAAATAGCAAGGCGTCATGATCTGTTAGGTCATCCTTTGACGAAGAAACTTCTTCACACAAACTGGTGAGTTGGAATGATATTTCAAACGTGAGGTCCAGATTAGATAGTATTCTAAACATTAAGCTGCCAAGGTTGACAAGGTTTGTGTCTGAACTACCAGAAAAAGGTAATTGATAGTTGATGCGAAAATATTCTTGTCTAAGCTTTAATTGGCGTCAAAAGCGGAAAGTTCTTAGTTTGGCTTTATTAGTATTTGTATTTATGAATCCTATATTTAATAATTATTAACTTCCTTAACCTGAGCCCGATTGATCACATGCAGGGTTGCCTATTCATATATCTCCAACATTAAACGTGTTTAACAGAGATGCGTTAACATTTAAATGCATGATTGATAAAGCTCCACAGTATTTATGTGATAATTTTGAACAACGAAACAGAATTCATAACCAAGATACTAGATCGAAGAAATTCAAGAAATGAAGACCTGGATATTCCAAAATTTAGGACATCGATCGGTCAAAGATCGTTCAAATACAGAGGGACTAAGATATGGAATGGTCTAGATACGGAGCTGAATCAATTAATGATTTGAACTATTTTAAGACGAAACTTAAGACAATTCTTATTGAAAAGCGATGTCTTTCTTTTTAACTTATAAACTATAATATAAAGTATAACTTTAGTTTACGTAATAACTTGTATTAATTAATCATTAATGATAAAATTGTTGTAAATATAGTTGATAATTCATAATTTCTTTTTAAAATTTATGTAAATTGTCATTGAAAAACCCATTTTAGGGAATGTCAATTAAAAAATTCATTTCAATTCAAAGAGATTAAAGATACCTCGATGTTTTCTATCGAAGCCCTCATCAGGAGATAACAACTTGGATAGGGCGTCGAAGTGAAACTTTTTCAGGCAGTTCAGACACGAAGCACGGCATCTCTAACCACAATACAGAATTATATAGTAGTCATGAGATAACAATATATTGTATGTATGTATGCATGTATGTAACCTTTATTTAAAATCTAATCGACGCTAGCCTCATCAACATTTAGTTGGTTTCCATGAGGGGCGTCGATATATAGGCCTACAAAATAACATATCTACAAAAATAACAAAAGGGAATTAAAAAAGTACAAAGTTACAAGCGACAAACATGAATAATATTTTCTAAGGTGTGACCCTATCTAATTAATATTCAATTTAAAAACGTATTCTGAATGGGCTAATTTTGCTTACCAAGAAAGGCTATTCCAAAGTTTTGCGCCACTATATTTTAAGGAATTCCCTTCTCGGAATTGGTATAGCTAAATCAGTAAATCTATTTCTAAGATTGTAAGATCCTTGCAATGCGCTATTCATAGTGAACAAATTTTTCAAATTCGGTGCAGTTATTTATTCAAAATCCTATACACTAATATCGATTTATTCCATTTTCGTCTTTCCTCCAAAGTTACCAACCAAGAGATTCAAGAGATTGTTACCTTTTGTCGTCAACCTTGTAACATTCTTGCTATATCATGACTATATCAGAGCTGTTAGAATCACCTTGTAACACATCTGATGGCATCAAGCTTGTTACAAGTTTACAAGTTGTTAACAGCTTGCTCCAAACTTGTTACAACAACTGGGAACAAGCAGTGCGAACGCAACTTGTCGACAGCGTGTAAACAGATTTGTAACAACTTGTTTGCACACCTGCAGCTTGTGGGTTTTTACGTGTGTGCTCGGCGCGCCTTGTAAATCAGATACAGATAGGCAGCTCATGCATGTACACCTTGTTTTTCTCCTTTAGGATAAATGGTGTTCGCTACATCTACTACAGCCAGATGTTCCTACTCGCTGCAGCATTAGTATCTTTGACTTTATTTCTGTGGTGGGCGGCAAGGCTAATGAACGACTGCCATAAAAAGGTTCTAGCAGAATATAAAATGTCCACGGGTGTTGACAAAATACCTAATAACTCAACGTTCTACGCTGACAACGAAAATTATTGTTATGAAAAGTTAGGTTATGGAGTAAGTAAAAGTTGAAAAACTGCATTCAAAAGGGCCCGAACGAGTTCAGATTATTTAACAATTATTCGCCGAAGGCGAGGTGATTGTCGGTGAATAAAAACCGAGACGAAGTCGAGGTTTTTATTCACGATAATCACCGAGCCTGAGGTGGATAATTGTTGCTGCCGAGCTGAGGCTCGGCAGCACACTATTCTTAACGTTACATGACGTTCTTGCTTTTTCGTGTCCAGTCCCCGCGGCCGAGTTATGTATAGTCGAACAGCGATTTTCAC